AGTGTCAGATGATGAGTTTGAGTATCATGAGTCACAGGTTTTACTAATGTAAAGCATGCAGATCCTGCACAATTTAAAGTGATAGCACATTAGCTACGTTTACATGCACCAAGTTCCCCCTATCCCATTCCAATTTTGGTTGATCGGAAATCCCAAATCTCTGCTTTTATGGACACTAACTGAAATGATCCGATCAAGCCATGCACACACACAAACATTCAGTCAGATTAAACGGGTTGAGCATGCGCAGTAGTCTTTCCTGGAAAAAAATTGGAAACCATCCTGTCCGCACCCCCCCCCGTATGGACCTTGTTCACATTTTTACCTGTATGTTTTTGTTTTTACTGATCACTTTAACTAAGCTACAGGCTCAGCGGTGCGTAACTCTGCTGCTCCTCCGCCACAGGAGAGGAAAGCAGGATAACGTCTGTTTACTTCCCGCCGTGTTTTGGACTTGTCCTGAGCCTCTGCAACGGCGGAAAGACGATTCACGCCGAAGTTGCACACATGCACATTATTTTACTCCAAGAATCTGAATGAGTTTGTATGGATGTCAATCAGAATGATGATCAGACGAAACCACCTCTCAATCGGAATGGATTTTCATTCCGATCGGGCCGTTTCGCATCAGAATGTTCCGACCGACATGTTTGCAAGAAGAATTTTTGATCTGGTAGCACGGGTAGGGAACCCTGGTCCTGGAGAGCTACTATCCAGCACATTTTAGAGGTTGACCTGCCTGAAAACACCTGATTTTAATCAGCAGGTGATTAAAAGGCCTCTGCAGAGCCCGATGAGCAGTTGAACAGGTGATTGAACTTTGTTGAAGCAGGGCGACCTCTAAAACATGCTGGATAGTGGCTCTGCAGGACAGGGTTCCCTACCCCTGTAGGGCATTCATTCGGATTACTGGTGCCCGTGTAGAAGTAGCTATTGTTCCGTTTTCCTTTTGTTATGTTTTAGCTACAATCACTACAGGCTCCTCCCACCTGCCAATGGAAGCCAGAAATAACCTCCACTTTACTGTGGTGTCCAAAATGGAGCCGCTGAATAATGGAACATCTGAGCGACGGAGCCGCATCACACTGCTGTAGTTTCAGCTTCTGTCTTTTAAAAGGTGTGTTTGTGGAAAAAATACAGGAAGATATGGGTTTTTGGATTAGCAAGGGAAAAACAATGTGTGGTTTTAGAAAAAAAACAAAAATGATTTTGACCTGGGGGGAGAGAGGCTGTTGAAAAGTGATCATTGGCAGAGAGGATGAATGCTTCAGTAGAGAAACACCAGGCTTTGTCTCAGAGGGACATACAACACAACCGTTGTCGGTGGGATTTCCCTGAACAAGCTCCTGCTCTGAGTGAGGGATGATCTTTTAGGTAAAAGTGTGTAACCATTGCTGTCCATGTGTGACCATCAAACCTTCGTTACACGTGTTCAGTACACAAGACGTATAGCTAAAGCTTGACTTTGTCTTTTTTTAGACACTTGTGATGGTTTGGTCTCTAAAAGGTTTAGAGGAATATTTTTATGGCAAACATTTTGGAAGAATTACGTTTGTTCTTAACCAGATTTGCTATAAAATATCAGTCATAGAAAATAATCAGTGGCTATGCATCAGTTACAGCCTTTGTGGTGTCTGATTTAACCGTTTTCTCAGTAAATGTGTTTTTTGGTTTTCCTTTATCCTAAGAGGCCCTTTTGAAATTCCCCAGGGCCTTTGGCTTGTTGGGAAAGCCAAAGACTAACTTAATAGTTCATAGTTGTCTCATTCTCCGGCGATCCCATATATAGGCGTGTGAGAGGAAAATGTTATGTGGAAATCCTTCCCCAGTGTGAAAGCTTTCTTGGGTGAAACTGTGCTTCTTGTGTTGCTCTTATATAACAAGCAGTGAGTCTGTTTCTTTGCAAATGGCTTTTCTACATCAATATAGAGATTAAGACTGATATTGGCCCGAAGCTTAAGGGGGAAATAGGTCTCTGCTTGATCACAAGTGGGAAAGATGAAGCTTGGCACTATGGAGAGCTAATCTACTTTGATGGGCATGTCTGTCATAGGGCCTGGGTTGTTGTGCCATCTGCACGTCCTGTTTTAAACTACTGACAGATATTTAAATAGCTTTCTTACATGTAGGCATCTTTCTGTATTCTCAGCTGAAACTCTTTAGTATTTCAGGCGCTTTGATGCTGATCACATTTACATTTCAGCAGAAGTTTCTAAAATTACAACTCCCAGAATCCAGGAATAGTTTCTTTTTGAGCTGCGACCATCCTCTTCCTGTGGTACGGGTCTCAAATGTGGAGAACATCAGTCAACTTAAACAGTGTTTTCTGATTTCCTTGTTTTTCCTCATTTGATCATTGGCCGTGTTCCAGATGAGCCAGTTCTGCGCAGATTCGATCAGCGGTGATCGGCGCGCAGTGCTTGCCGGTTAGATCTGTGTCCGACTTGACGCCGACTTGCTCTGACGTCATGCCTACGTAGGCAACGATAACCTGGCGAGATCAAGGCGGCCGCAGATTTTGGAGCAAGGCGCTGCAGTTGCTCTCCACCGGCTGCTAAACCCAGGGCATGACGGGAAACGCCTGGCTCTCACCTGATCTAAGATCTGATTGGTTCATATTTTGATCCAAACATCCGGTGGTTGAACATGAAATGTTAGTAGGTCACATGTATTCTGTAAATCATGTGACATTAATGATGACAACTATATAGGCCATAAAGAGAAATGTGGTTTGTGTTCTTTTGTCACGTTTCCTATGAGCACACTGAAGCTACAGCTGATAACCTTTACTTATTATTACAGTCATGGCTCCATATACAACATATGATATCCACAAGCACGTGAGGATGTGTTTCAGCTGCTAGCAGGCACTAGAATTAAAATAAATAAACAAGTATGAACTCTAACGCGATATCTTCAGCCATCGTCACCCGCGAGCTACACATGTAGAGAAATGTGTCCGACGTAAACGCCGGCTTTCAGCCACTCCCTCTGCTGCGTCCGTCTGCTCTCGTCTGCTTTCCAGGCGAGGCGCAGCTCAACTCGAACGCAGCCATTGTTTGACTTGTAAATTGTTGTGCTTGGTCCCACCCTTTGGAATGGGATTCACCACCTGCTCTCCAGCCCATCACAGGGACAAACAGTCACACGTTCACCCAGGGATCGTTCAGAGTCTCCAGTTAACATAACATGCTGCCTTTTGGCCTTTGGGAGGAAGCTGGAATACCTGGAGAAGATCCACACAGCCATGGGGAGAACATGCTAACTCTACACAGATAGTGCACAACCAGGATTCAAACCCACAACCTTATCACTGCATAGCAACAGGGCTAGTACTAGCCACACAACCACATAGGCACTCATTTATGTGTTAAATGGAAAATACGTAGTTTGAACACGAATGAGACTAAAAACATCAACCTCCCACCTGCTGCTTCACCCTGTGTCGTCTATTGTTCCATCACTGGCTCTTCATAGATGCCAAGCTGGGTAGACCGAGCAAAGAGGCGAAGTGCTGCTTCAACTTTCCCAGAGGCTCATGCAAACGTCAGTTTGTGTTATAAATCATTTAGAGTCTCTCAGAGGGGCACAATACGTTTTTATCCCAGTTCTCTCATCCCTCCATCCTAGCGCCCTGTTTCATTACTGAGCGCGGTTCCTCTGTGTGCCACTTGGCTCTGCCAGACAGAGGGAGAGCTTTGAGGGTTAATCAATGAGCACAAATAAGCGTTGATTCAAGGTGGAAAGAGAAGAGAATCGACTTCCGCATCCCTGTTTGAGATGTAGTTCAAGGAAAAGATCACTGGGTCGTGTTGGTGCTTAATAATGAATTGGCTTTCCTCTTAGATGTGAATTTGCTCATGGACATCACACATGCTTCTGTTTCGGGCCAGTGTGTAGCGCTGAAAGGTCAGGCTGTGTTTGGTCTTTTTTTCCACTGTGGAGGCTTCACCACCTGCTCGTCAGCACAAACAACACAATAGCTGACAGCGCTCTTCTGTCAGAACGAGTCTCGCAGACGCCACGTGTCTTTGCGTGTACTGCGTGTGCTCGTGTCTGTGTGGGTGAGGTCGCTGGTGGGCGCGTGCGTCCAAAAGGTTATTTGTGCAGATAGTTTTGTGATCCGTCCATGAGGGGGAAACGTGTTCAGCTGCACACAGAGGTCATGTTCTTGAATAAAATGCCGAGACATTTAGTTGGAGGGAAAGTCCTGTGACCTTTGACCTCACATATGATTATGAGGAAGCAGATGTAGAAAAGCATCGGGTACAATTCATGACTGCATGACTAAAACAATGTAAATGTTAACTTTCTACCTTCCAAACCGTCCTCAATAATAAAAGTGGTCGGCTCTCTAAACGCTCTTTAGCTCCGGGAAAAGTCGGTCCTGAAGCAAATAAAACGACTTTTCTAAGGATTCTGGAGTTTCTGAGTAGTAATGGCTGAACGATGTTAATGAGAACTTTTCTGCCTGTTGACCCCTCCTTCCATCAGCTGTTTTATAGCCATTTGAATTCTTTCCCTCCTTTTTTTTACAAAGCGATCATCGCCTTTTTTATCGCTTCGCTTGTTTCATCAGCCAGGAAACATCCCTTTGTGCTCGGGAACCTAATAAAAACAGGAACTGCAGTCGAGGTGCGTGCTGAACATGCTGTAATAGTTCAGTAAGGGAATGGAAAGCAGGCTTTTTTATTGGTATGTTGGGTATTTGCAGGAGTTTCAGTAAGCTCCAGCTTCTATTAGATCCAATAAGAAAGAAACAGGAGAGGCGGTCTTAATTAAAACTATATTCTACGGTTCTGTTGGGCTGCAGCGTGATGATGGATGTTTTTATTTTAATCAAAGAGCCACTCATGTCTCACGATCAATGACTAATGTTGATCTATTAATCTACCTGTTAATGTCTTTCATATTATTGCCATCACATCTCTTAATGTACACATCTGTGTATGAGTCGTCCCTCACAACCCTCTAACCACCGTTCTCTCTCTCTTCCTCAGGTACATGGTTGTTCCAGTCATGAAGGAAGGTTGTAGGACGATACGTGGCTGGCACTGAGGAGAGAGGAAAGGAGAGAGAGTCCGAGGCTTGTCCAGCCCCCATTCAATCATTTCTTTTAAGCACGCCATCACATCTGTGAGCACATGTTTTCTTGTAACAAAGGTATTTCTGTGTATAGTACAGATACACCTATAGTACAAAGGTATCGGCTACCTCTAAGCTGGATCTCGTTTGTGTGTCTTGAGCTACCTTTTAGCTGCAGGAAAAAGCGGCTTGGCCAAAATCCATCTTTTTTATGCGAGTCTACACGGCACAGGTCCTTTTTTAATCAGACTCGGGTCACTTTCAGACGTGATCCTAGTTTGAATATTTGAAATATCTGCTAAGAAGTTGCACTACTTGAGAGTTCACGCATGCCGACGTGTTTAGCATCCATATTTACCCTACCATCAGATGTTCTTCAGGGCTGTAGTCTGTGTACGATGATTGCTCTTTCTGACAGACGGTTTTAATATTTCTTTCTTTTCAAGAAAGCGTGAAGTTTCAGATTTAGTCTTTTATTCAGGGTTTGAATTTTGGGGGCCCTAGGGGGAGCCTGGCTGGGACTTCTGCTGATTGTTCATGCACTCCAGTCAACTGCGTCCTACACACGACCACGCAATTCTCAAAGTCGCACCACCAAAAGAATATAATTGCCACACAATCACTCATGTCGTCTGGTCACTTCACCTCACTGGTGCGGCCACGCACTCCACCATTTGTGGTCGGTAAATCACTTCAGATTTCCCTAATTCAAATGTAACTCAAAGCCAGGCAGCAGTTTTTCTGGAGGACTGAGGAGATGCAGGAAGAGAAGAGACGATCAGGATTAGAAAATAATCAAATAAAAAACAAGAAAAGCAAAACCAAGTACTAGGAAGGGAAAAGTTAGGTCCCCCATGCCCCGCCCACGTGCTCAGAGATGCACTCATGACATCACAGACCACAGACGGACGTGTGCTGCACGACAGTCTTTGAGTTGAACAGCTACTGTCTGATGTGAAAAGGGGGCAGATATTATACGTTTTTGCTTCTTTCTGCAACTTTTCATTTAGGATTATTTGTGAACATGGACTGTTTTAATGTAAATTTTATTTGATTGATTGATCGCATGAAATGAAAAAAAGAAATGGAAATGTGCTCGATCACGTCCGCATTCCTAAGGCAGTGTGGAGCGAATGCGGCTGGGCTGGGGGCGGGTGGAGCGGAGTGAAGCCGATACTTGTGTGTAAGTAGCATGAAGCCGGGGACACACCGGCCGCGGAAGCGCAGCGAATCGCTCACGAAATTCGGCCGCTGCTCGCCGCTCCTCAGTTCAGATCAGACGCGCCCCAGTCGAGGCGCGCCTCGGCTCAGCTGTAGTTTTTCTTTTAAACACTTGGTGTCCTCCATTTCCTCTCTGCCTTTTCTCAGCTCTTTTCCTCTACGTTTGTGTGTGCGCGTGTGCGCGTGTGCGCGTGTGTGTGTGTGTGTGTGTGTGTGTGTGTGTGTGTGTGTGTGTGTGTGTGTGTGTGTGTGTGTGTGTGTGTGTGAACCTATGGTATGAACCAGTTGTTTCTGCCAGTTGAATCTCTTGGAACCCGCTCCAATTCTGCAGCTGTATCCTAGCAGTTTCTTCCTAAATGGGGACGTAAATAATCATGTTTTTCGGGGGTCGTACAGTTCCTTGTGTTTCTCAACTTCCATAATTAATTTAAAGTCATCCATATTAACTGCTTGCCTCAGACTTTCTGCCTCTCTGTCCTGTTTGCTTCGGAAAAAAGACACCCAAAACCACACCCCCTTCACGTGGTCACACACGCACACAAGTTCGATGTGTGTGTGTGTATGTGTGTGTGTGTATGTGTGTGTGTGTTCGTGTGGTTTTTCTGCAGTGTCTGATTACTAACACATTTGGCTATTTCGGAATTTTATTTTGAAATACTTTATTTTGTTAAATTTACCGGCCTGCCTCTTATGTCTAGGTTTGACTTCCTGCCAGAATTGACGCGATTCACCCGCGGCTCGCGAAAAAATAGAGCAGACGCCGAAATGATCGCTGCATGGCGCGGGTTGGAGCGCTGGCGCGGGCTGGAGCGCCGGCGCGGGCTGGAGCGCCGGAGCGAGGAGATTCGCGGCGCTTCTCCGGCCCATGTGGTCTATGGAATAGCTTAACAAGGGCGCCGAATGAAGGCGGTCCCATTGTCACAGCGCTTTGCGGCCGGTGTGTCCCCGGCGTGAAGCTCCACCACTTGGGGTAGGACCTCATCCCTGACCCGGAGAACTCGTTCTACCTTTTTCCGACTTAATACCATGGTCTCTGATTTAGAGGAGCTGATTCTAATCCCAGTAGCTACAACCGCTCTAGCGAAAGCTGGAAACCATATATTTATATATTTGATACAACTCAGATCACCTTCAAACTTCAGGTTTCAAACTATAAATTCTGAAAATGTCAATGGAAACACCCAAAAGTGTTGCTCAGATTGAAGTTACACATCTCCACTATCTTCTGGTGTAAAGAAATAACTTTATGATAGATTATAATTGGCTCGTTAAATTCTATAATGCGACTTTGGCGTTTTTGTTACAGTCCTTCTAATGCTAGGAGTCTAATTACTGACATAATAATGTCTTTCGGTGTTTCGGCCTTCGTTTTCTCATGAGGGTTTTGGCCAAGTATTTTCATTTCAGTGCGTCCCCGTCCTTCCATCCATCCATCCATCCATCCATCCATTCATTCATTCATTCATTCATTCATTCATTCATTTTCATCCGCTTATCCGGAGTCGGGTCGCGGGGGCAGTAGCCTAAGGCGACAGGCCCAGACTTCCCTCTCCCCAGCCTCTTGGGCTAACTCCTCCGGGGGAATCCCAAGGCGTTCCCTGGCCAGGTGAGAGACATAGTCCCTCCACCATGTCCTGGGTCTACCTTTAGGTCTCCTCCCGGTTAGACGTGCCAGGAAAACCTCACCAGGGAGGCGTCCAGGAGGCATCCTGACCAGATGCCCAAGCCACCTCGATGTGGAGGAGCAGCGGGTCTACTCTGAGCCCCTCCCGAATGACCGAGCTTCTCACCCAATCTCTAAGGGACAGCCCAGCCACTCTTCAGAGAAAACTCATTTCAGCCGCTTGTATCCGCAATCTCGTTCTTTCGGTCACTACCCAAAGCTCATGACTATAGGTGAGGGTAGGAACGTAGATCGACCAGTAAATCGAGAGCTTCGCCTTCTGACTCAGCTCTCTCTTCACCACGACAGACCGGTACAACGCCCACATCACTGCAGATGCAGCACCAATCCGCCTATCGATCTCATGCTCCAGTTTTCCCTCACTTGTGAACAAGACCTCGAGATACTTAAACTCCTCCACTTGGGGCAGGACCTCATCCCTGACCCGGAGAAGGCATTCCACCCTTTTCCGAATCAAGACCATGGTCTCAGATTTAGAGGAGCTGATTCTCATCCCAACTGCTTCACACTCGGCTGCGAACCGCTCCAGCGAAAGCTGAAGATCACGTTCTGATGAAGCCAACAGGACCACATCATCTGCAAAAAGCAGAGACCTGATCCTCAGACCACCAAAACGAATGCCCTCCACACCTTGGCTGCGCCTAGAAATCCTGTCCATAAAGGTTATGAACAGAATCGGTGACAAAGGGCAGCCTTGGCGGAGTCCAACTCTCACTGGGAACGAGCCCGACTTACTCCTGGCAATGCGGACCAAGCTCTGACACCGGTCATACAGGAACCTAACAGCCCGTATTAGAGGGCCTGGTACCCCATACTCCCGGAGTGCCCCCCACAGGGGCCCCAGCCCCCGAGGGACGCGGTCTAACGCCTTCTCCAAATCCACAAAACACATGTAGACTGGTTGGACAAATTCCCACGTACCCTCCAGGATCCCCCTAAGGGTATAGAGTTGGTCCAGTGTTCCACGGCCAGGACCAAAACCACATTGCTCCTCCTGAATCTGAGGTTCAACAATCCGACGGACCCTCCTCTCTAGAACCCCTGAATAGACCTTACCAGGAAGGCTCTGGAGTGTGATCCCCCTGTAGTTGGAACACACCCTGCGGTCCCCCTTTTTAAATAAGGGGACCGCCACCCCGGTTTGCCAGTCCAGTGGGATTGCCCCAGATCCACGCAATATTGCAGAGCCACGTCAGCCAACACAGCCCCACAACATCCAGAGCCTTAAGGAACTCCGGGCGGATCTCATCCACCCCCGGAGCCTTGCCACAGAGGAGCTTTTTAACCACCTCAGTGACCTCAGCACCAGAGATTTGAGAAGCCAACTCAAAGTCCCCAGACTCTGCTTCCTTACTGGAAGACGTGTCGGTGGGATTGAGGAGGTCTTCGAAGTATTCTGCCCACCAATCCACATCGTCCAGAGTAGAGGTCTGCAGCACACCGTCCCCACTATAGATAGTGTTGGTAGTGCACTGCTTTCCCCCCTGAGGTGCCGGATGGTGGACCAGAATTTCCTCAAAGCCATACGGAAGTCTTTCTTCATGGTCTCACCGAACTCCTCCCATGCCCGGGTTTTTGCCTTGGCGACCACCCGAGCCGTGTTCCGCTTGGGCTGCCGGTACCCGTCAGCTGCCTCTGGAGTCCCACAGGCCAAAAAGACCTGATAGGACTCTTTCTTCAGCTTGACAGCATCCCTAACTGGCGGTGTCCACCAGCGGGTTCAGGGGTTGCCACCACGACAGGCACCGACGATCCTGCGACCACAGCTCCGGTCGGCCACCTCAAAAATGGAGGCACGAAACAGGGTCATTCAGACTAAATGTCCCTCGCCTTCCCCGTAACATTTTGGAAGTTCTGTCGGAGGAGGGAATTGAAGCTCCATCTGACAGGAGACTCTGCCAGACGTTCCCAGCAGATCTCGTGATACGTATGGGCCTGCCTGGTCTGACCGTCATCCTCCCCCACCATCTGAGCCAACTCACCACCAGGTAGTGGTCAGTTGACAGCTCCGCCCCTCTCTTCACCCGAGTGTCCAAGACATGCAGCCGCAGGTCAGATGAAACAACAACAAAGTCGATCATCGAGCTGTGGCCTAAGGTATCCTGGTGCCAAGAGCACATATGGACACCTTTATGTCTGAACATGGTGTTCATTATTGACAATCCATGACTGG